GCCAAGGTTTAATAAGACATCAGGTAGTCATGTCTGACGGCTCAAAATATTTTACAATTATTTTGAACTTAAATTACGAAAAAACTACATCTGAAAGTTGTGGACCCCTATACTGAGAAGTAAAAGTACCACCTATGCTTACTATAACACACCAAGCTATATTTAGAAGTCGTGGGCCTCTGTGCATTGTTAGGCTTCCTTTCTTTATAGGGTGCATTTGGATTCTTTGCATAGCTCACTTTACACATTAATCGTGTCTTAAGAGACTTAAAATACACGGCGTATTTTTATTTGCTAGTCCTTATTTATTTAACATTTAATTCGTGCCGTTTATATCATCCATGGATATTTCAGAGAGAACGCTGACAGACGCACTGGTCATCTCCGCTTTAACAAGTCCTTCTGCCATTGAGGGCGCAGTAAATAGAACACTTGGTTCTCTATCTTTGGTGGGTATTGCAAAGAGTATAACTCTCAAGTGAAGGGGTCTCCGGCAACATGTATCACTCTGGTCCACGTAACTTGATTATTTACGCATCGTATATGCAATTTAACATTCAAAATTTAGTAGTAATATATTTTCTCTTGGGACGGTGATGCATCATCTGTTTTATATTCAGTTTTACTGTTGTCGTCACTGAACTGTTAAAGAGCAGCCGAACAAAACGGCTTGATTAACACTCAAAAACGTTTAAAGATCATAGTGTCTACTTATACAGATGAAATCGGATAGTCGGCTGCGTTATGTCGACTTTTTGATATTGGTCTAAAAACGAATAACCCACATTGTGTGTGTTCCGTCAAAAACCACTGCAATTTGTTGCCGTACTAATCAATACTTGTACCAAGAGGCACCTACTGATACCTGTTACATGTTCACTGTTTATATTTACTAATTTACCCAGGGCATGTTTCATCTTTCAGGATTCATCAAACCAAACTTTGTCCTAATATCTTGTATATTTTATCTTATTCAGTATAAATTAATAAACACCCAAAACCACTAAATGAAGTGGATTGTAGAAGCAGTCGGTTATGACAACAACAATTATTGGTTATTACTTCGAATATAAAATTGGTTACTAAAGGGCTGTACGTCACATTGTATTAACTCTATATTTACTTAACATTGAATACAGATTGTTGCCTTGATACACCTGGTTCATACTACGTACTTAAACAGCGCTTTATTACAGCTTTAGTTAAAAACGCATTGTCTCGGCTATGGGCTTAAAATTTAATTTTAATAAAAAAGGCAGTGCTTGAAATGTTGGTTAATTGACAAGTATCAGTGTGTATGCAATCCCCACTGGCTATGGTTGTTACAGCACAGTATGTGCATGTGTGTATTCTTTAAGTTTACCAACGTTATTTTTATACCTTGAATGATGTTCCAGTTACGTGACGTCCTTATGACCAGCCTGTCTAATGTACTGGACACTGTCAGTGACGAGGCTGGATTGGTCAGTGTGGCCAACTTGATGTCCACAGTGACCAACACTGGGAGTGACCAGCTCAGTGAGAGAGCCATGGTAAAAAAAGATAAATGGATAGATAGGTTAACAAATTAAATAAATTAATAGTTACACGGATACGGATATATGTTTTAATAAGCGAGCTAAATTATAATTGATTCGTGTCATTTTTGTCATGGACATAATGAAAGATCCATGCTTTTGTATAAATCTACTTTTTAATTAGACAAGCGCACGAATTAATACCATATTTTCCATAATTGTGTACTAAAATAAGTTAAAGAATGCTGTACATTCAAAACACAATCAGATTTTTAACGAATGAATAAGGACATTAATGTACTTTTTGAGCGAAAATATACATCGGAATATGATTAAAATATTCTATTCCTACTGACATTCACCATTGTCACAGCACTTAAATGATTTACAGCCATTGATTTATTTGTTTTCAGGACCAAGCCGTCAATATGTCAAGTGCGTTATTGCAAAAAGTGACGTCAGCAAACTATTCAACTACCGCCGTGACGTCACTGTTGACTTGTAAGTTCGTGTGTGCGTGCGTGCTTGCTTTGTGTCCATCATGGTTGTAATGATGAAAAAAAATGTCACTTCTTTATCATTCATGATGCACTTGCTCTCGCTTGAAATCGTTCGATATTTTTATTTCATAATTACAGCTGTTGCCGCAACTCTGGGAAATATCTTAGACATTGGTCTCTCAGTAACTAATTCTCCAGTCAATGGAACGACATTGGTAAGGAACGATTGTTGATCTTTTTACAGAAAACCGCATTAATTAAAATATTGCAATGGGTGTGTACATGATGTTACATTTACTAGTTCTGACCAAAGTTGTACATTTATTTGTCAAACCGTCCTAATATCTTGTATATTTTATCTTATTCAGTATAAATTAATAAACACCCAAAACCACTAAATGAAGTGGATTGTAGAAATAATGTATATGAATGGATTGCAGTTACTCTGATAATCGCGATGATAATAAAAGCATATTTTCAATTTTACGTTTTCATTAACCTGTAAATCGGAAGGGTACGTAGCGTTATATAGAAAAAGATATATTATGATTTGCTTGTTCAACAGACGACGTCTTTTCAATGACTGTATTTGTTCTGCACAACTAATGCTTTTCAAGACCTGTCCCTTTGGACAGTTATTCATATCCATACCGAAACCAATCGTTCCATTTTCTTTATTTGTATATTTATTCATATACACAATGTTAACATATGCTTCTGTGTTCATTCTAGGTCAGTGTAGAAAAAATAGTGGAACTCATAAACTCGGTGGTTGACATGATGGCATCCGTGTTGGCCAAATCTTCAGAGATGGATCAAATTGCCATTGAAACTCCGTCCATTTCCATGGCAGTTCAGAAGTTGCAACCGGGCACAGTTTCTAGACTCAACTTGAGTACCTCATCGACTACATTGGGCATTAATGGAGTTTTGGAGCTTGACGAAGTAACGTTTGCTAAGGTGCGTATATTGCGCGTTAAGAAAGCATTTTTTTATTTAGTTGGATGATCATCATCTTAAGGGTGATACAATGTAGCTCTGCATCCTGAATGCACTCCTCGGTCTGTCTTGTCAGGCTACAGACTTTAATTGGTCGAGGATTAAGTGAACTTGTTGCTACATTTTAGGTGATTGCGTACAAAATAAACCCTTACAAGTACAGTGAAGGCGGAGAAAATATCACGTCTTACGTCACAAACGTTATTATGGCGTCGGAGAACGGAAGCGCTGTGAATCTTGGGAACGCCCATGTGACTTTTGAGATACCCGTTGCACTAAGATTTCACGTGATAGAAGCGGATATAGGAAATGTCACAATGCAAAGGGGAATTTCTCAAACATTTAATATATCTGACAATACTCAAAACTTGCTTCTTGTCTCCCAAACGCCACCTAACCGGAAGTTGTATTTCTACGGAAAGCGCGGCGGCTTTGCTTACAGTGACTCTTACGATTTCGTCATAGAGGTGGACAGAACGAAAGCAAACGTAAGTAGAACATATATATATTGTATCAAGTATAAAAGGAGCAAACTCACGCTTAACCCGTTTCGTTAATTTTATTGTTGATTTAGTAAATGTATGTAAAATTTGTAAGTGGTATGCTCGAGATTATGGCACACCCTTAATGTTAACTTTGCGTACAGTAAACTATAGTGGAACTTTCGGAACTTGAAAGGTAAACTAGATATAATGCAGAATACTTTGTTAAATAATATTTATAACGTAAAACCGATTTGGAAATGAATACTGGAAACAATAATGTATCTACATCTATAACTCACACAGATGTGTTTTTTTATGTACAAATGTTTGATCAAAGTGACATAGCCCCGCCATAAGAATAATAACAAATACACTATGACCAAATATATTTTCAGCCATCAGAGAGATACGTGTACTCAACACCTGTTTATTCCAACGAGCCGACTGTAAATAGCATCATGGTAGTTAATGTAAGTGACGGAACCTAGGATAATACATGAATATGCTTTATTTAAAAAGACAAAGGCACAAACTTGTCATTCAATTTGAGTGAAAATGCAGGATAGCGTGGTTGCTTATAAATCGTCTTTCAAAGAAAAGAGGAAGGGTATTTGGAAATACATTGACATATATTCTTTTCGAGCTGTTGATATTTGATATATCCTACTGTTATTTAATATAGTAGTACAGGGTACCATTCCGTATTCCAGATTTACATGGATAGCAACGGAGAGTTGTCAATATACGTACCTTCCGGAGGACTTCATGGGACATCTTTCTTCAATCTACTCATTCTTGCTGATGAGAATGATTTATGTACGTTAAAAGATAAAACGAATTATAACATTATGTGGCTTGTATAAAGCACTACATCAATAACAAGAAATAACATGGTCTAAAACATGGTATTTTGTTGACTGCAAGGCTTTAACTTGTTTAAAGTACCAACCTTTCAAGTATAAGCAGATTTGATCTGTTAGAACAAAGTTAAGTAGCTTGGAACCTTCTCGAAACATGCAAGATCACCTGATAAACTGCTTTGGGGAAGAGCCATTTAATATCATTTTTTATTGTACAGTTTTATATTTTTAAAATCCATTACAGGCACCAATACCAGCGGTTGTTACCAAAACCTTACCATTGAATGTATGGTGATTAGTCCCCAATATTATAGTGAAGTGACAAAATCGTGGAACACTTCTGTCGGACTACAGGTGTGGTTGACATATTCCAATTATTTAAATATTTGTTTATGCGATGAACACATTGTAAAAAGTGAACACGAAAGTCGAATTCACTTTTTACAATTTTTTTTTGTAAATTTAACTTTTCGTGTCTCAAGGTCAGGTGAAACATATGGAGCCGCCAATCATTGCTTTTATTTCTATAATTCCATATCGTAACCCATGTTTCTAATTTGTTAATAATCAATAAGAATGTGTCATTTTTGAATGATTTTTGTTTCGCTCTAGACAAGCAATGTTACCACAAACGGAAAAATGACATTCAAGAGCAACTTTTTCGGATCATTTGCCGCTGGACTTTTTATTCCGCCAAACACAATCGACTTCGACAAGGTTTTCGCCAGTTTCTCTGCACTCTTAGCTCAAAGCCCGCACGTTCTCATCGTTATGTGTTCTCTGTTTGTGCTGTATTTTCTATTTCTTATATGGGCGAGGAGAAAAGATAATCAGGATGATGAGAAGGTAAAGTCTGTTGTGAACTTCCCTTCCGTTTTTTATTCTATGAGGATCACTTAAAATTATTTTTCTGTCACACGTCCAATTCTAAATAAAAGGTATGCACTATCAAAAGAGAATTTGTCGTTATAGTTGCTCACTCAAAATCGGGATCAAATGAATTTAGTAATTTTTCAGTTGCATTGCGAGCTTTAAGTTTTGCTTGTGTGCCACTTAAATAAAAAACTAACAACCCATTCATCGCTGTACATTGCAGTGGGAGTACACTCACCTAATAGAAAATGACCGCTACGACAGAGGCAAGTATTTACTAAGTGTGTACACTGGTGTGAAGTCCCCGGCGAAGACGACCGCCAAGCTGTTTGTAGTGCTGTATGGCAAAAACGGCCAGACCCAGCCTAAGGTTCTGATGGACGGACGCCGGGAGGTAGGGGGTGGAATATGATTGACCATTCATGAGATGATTTTTAAGCAATATAATTATCTTTTAGTGTCGGTATTTTCAAAACCATGGCTTTTGCAAAGTTACTTGTCTTGACATTTGTAAACCTATTGACTTGGGGTGAGGTCACGTCTTGGCCTAGCATCGACCCGAAACTGGGATAATTGACCGACGCCCATCTCAATTATCATCATTAATCATTTATTATCTTATTGATATGTTAATCAATAAATTATTACGGATAATAAGAATTGGGTTAATTTATTAATTAGTAAATCAGTGACGGTTATCAGTGAGGAGAATTGAGGTAATTAAACAGTAATAATAATAATAATAATAAGAATAATAATAATAACAATAATAATGAGAATCGCACTGCCTTGGCGGAGGTCTGGTATGAGCTCTCTAAGTACTGTTGTACTAAGTGCTTTTTGTAAATAAGCTTCTGAAGCGGTTTGACTTGTTATGGCTTGATTAAAATGGGCAATATTTTTTCATTAGAATTTCACTAGAGGAGCGGTGAACAATTTTGTCCTCACCACGCCTGAAACAATTGGCAAGGTTACACATCTACATATATGGCATGAGGAGACAAAAAGTAGCGGGGACTACTTCCTGGAGAAAGTTGTCGTGTACGATATCCTGCGAAGGGAAAGGTAGGTTGTCAACGCTTTTTAACCAGCTGAAAAAAAAAACAGATAAATAAGAAAACCAAATTAAAAAACTAACTTAATTTTATACTCTTTATGTTTGAAAATGTGCCAGTTTTATATTTGATAAGTTTAAATGTCCCGAGAAAAATGATTCCGAATTCAGAAATTAAAAACTATGATGAACGACTAATTCAAATTCGGTAATATGCACACATTTAGATGTGTATCTCATACACAGTAGTGCACAGTAATGGAAATAGGGGATACTTATAAAGTATGAAATATTGTATTTTAGCACGTGTGTACGTGCAAACACGGAAAATGGTTTCAGTAACGGCAGCAACATGAATTTGACAGAAGGAGATCTATGCGAGCGTCAAACTCGATCAGCCTCTGACTGTCCAATTTTCCTAAATACACTGGATGGCTGATTAACATGCACAGGCTGCATTAATTTGAAATGATATTGTTTTACTCTTTCGGTTGGATGTATCCGACATGTTGGGTTCGTCCGTTTATGCATTTATGCATCCAAAAACAGGCGTGGCAGGAATGATAGTCCACTAGGCACCGTATTCGTCCCCTATACTTACCCCAATACTCATACTAACCCTAACCTACCCTGTAAATCTACTAATCATGTGGGACCCGGAACTTCCATTCTTAGGACTACCATTACTGTCACAACGGAATGGAACATCGGGTCTTATTTATTGTAGGTCCCATTACTTTTGCAACCAGTGGTTATCAATGTCAAGGGGAGACCGGGCCAGAGTTCGCTTTTTGGCGTCCGCAGACTTCGAGGGAATGAACGACTTCAACCTCCTCCTCACCAACAACGCCAGCAAGCGTTTGTTTGACAATCATCTCTGGTTCTCGGTGGCAAAGAGACCAACGCCCAGCAGACTGTCAAGGGTGGAGCGTCTCACCATATGCATCGTGGTCTTATTTCTGTGCATGGTCTCCAATGCCATGTGGTTTACAGAGAGTGAGGACACAACGACCGGTAAAACATCCAATATCTTTTAATGCCTGTTTTATTTCAAATTACTAATCCACGTTTTATTGTGGGATCACAGTGATTGTTCTGTCAATAGTCCATAGGATTTAAATTTTAAGGGAAATGCACGATCATTAACCAATTTATCAGTTAAGATATATTGCACAACGCATTTTAATACTCAAAGTCTCTTAGAACATGGAATGAATCTCTTGAATTGGAAATGTTTTTAGAAAATCAAAACCACCATTATTCTAGGCATACAAGTGGGACCTATTAGGATCACGTTTAGGCAGTTGTGGGTAGGGCTCGTAAGTAGCGTTCTGGTTGTTCCTCCCACGCTCATCATCCTTGAAGTCTTTAAACGAGGCAAACCAAGAAATTCCTGCACCAGCATCTTCCCAACAGAGAGGATCGATGGCCACCAGGAGAACAAGTCTCTCGAAAAAGGCTATGAGAAATTCTACTCAGCTTTACGAAAATTAATCACAAAAGAAACACAAAACAGCCCCAGGTATAAGAAGAAAGATGCTATCATCGACATGCTCGCCGACCTTCAGTTTGAAATGGAAGAAGAAAAGAGGGCGTTGTCTTTTAAGGGGAAACGAAAAAGCAAACCCGTCAGGTTTCCGTGGTGGGCCGTGATATTCGGTTACGTTCTTGCTTTCTTGGCAGTCTTCACGTCGGCGTTCTTCACCTTGTTGTACAGTCTGGACTGGGGTCCGGAGAAGTCCACGGACTGGCTCCTCTCTCTTATCTTCTCTCTGACGCAATCCATCGCTCTCACGGAACCGTTGAAGGTATATTTTTTTTTTTATTAATATTACTGGCGACCGTCCAATTGGGGGATGCTTAAAATGTGTTTTGAAATAATGTTTCCTTTATTTCAAATAGGATAATATAACCTTCCAGTCGATCGTTTAAAAGTGATTTTCATTCACATAAAAGCTCATTGATTTATAACCTTAGTTATGATTCCCTTTATTATAAGTACGAGAGTACATCTAAATACAAGAGTAGTAAGCTATGAATGAATGAATATTGTGGATTTATATTATGAAAAAGACTGGTGTTAACATAGATAATTAACGTTAATATAGTTTTATAATTATCCGCAAGGTGAAATAAAAAGTGTTCGTTTAAAACACTTGTCATTAACAAACGGATATCTACCTTTGTCTAACCCCAGGTCTTGCTGGTTGCGGTGCTGATGGCGTGTCTGCTAAAGATGCCGGGGGATGAGGAAGAGGAAGAAGACATGGTGATAGCGGAGCACGCGCCCCCAAAAGGTTCACTTTTCATCATTGTTATTAACAGGTTTATTACCTCCATGAGTGTTTTTGCTTGAATGAAATGACAAAGTTGAAATTACGGGATTTTAAACTCATTATATGCAAAAAAAAAAAAAAAAAAAAAAAAAACAAAC